TTTGACACTGTCCCTCACAACATCCTCCTGGGCAAGCTCCGGAAGTGTGGGATAGATGAGTGCACAGTGAGGTGGATTAGGAACTGGCTGGATGGCAGAGCTCAGAGGGTGGTGATCAGCGGTGCAGAGTCTAGTTGGAGGCCTGTAGCTAGCGGGGTCTCCCAGGGGTCAGTCCTTGGTCCAGTCCTGTTCAATTTATTCATCAATGACCTGGATGAAGGCACAGAGTGCTCCCTCAGCAAGTTTGCTGATGACACGAAACTGGGAGGAGTAGCCGATACCCCAGAGGGCTGTGCTGCCATCCAGAGGGACCTGGACAGACTGGACAACTGGGCGGTGAAAAACCTCATGCAATTCAACAAGGCCAAGTGCAAGGTCCTGCACCTGGGGAGGAATAACCCCAGACACCAGTACAGGCTGGGGACTGACCTTCTGGAGAGCAGCTCTGCAGAGAGGGACCTGGGTGTCATGGTGGACACCAAGTTGACCATGAAGCAGCAGGGTGCCCTTGTGGCCAAGAAGGCCAATGGGATCCTGGGGTGCGTTACGAAACGCGTTTCCAACAGGTCGAGGGAGGTGATCCTGCCCCTCTACTCAGCCCTGGTGAGGCCGCATCTGGAGTATTGTGTCCAGTTCTGGGCTCCACAGTACAAGAGGGATGTGGAGCTTCTGGAGAGAGTCCAGCGCAGGGCCACAAGGATGATCAGGGGCCTGGAACATCTGCCCTATGAGGAGAGGCTGAGGGAGCTGGGCCTGTTCAGCCTGGAGAAGAGAAGACAGAGGGGACCTGAGCAGTGTCTATAAATACCTCAAGGGAGGGAGTGAGGAGGATGGGGCTGGCCTCTTTTCAGTTTTGGCCACTGACAAAACTAGAGGTAATGGCCAAAAACTGAAACACCAGAAGTTCCACAGGAACTTAAGGAAAAATTTTTTAACAGTGAGGGTGACAGAGCCCTGGAACAGGCTGCCCAGAGAGGTTGTGGAGTCTCCTTCTCTGGAGATCTTCCAAACCCGCTTGGACGCAGTCCTGTGCCACGTGCTCTAGGTGACCCTGCGTGTGCAGGGGGGTTGGGCTAGATGACCTCTACAGGTCTCTTCCAATCTCAACGATTCTATGATTCTATGAATTATCAATAGATCCGTTATCCAAAAGATCTGCAATAAGTAACTGAAAGTGGGGACTTGAGAATTTTCCTCGTAACAATTTCTTTAAACATGTACAAAACTCTTAATAGAAATAAACAATATATGTAATATGATTTTATGTAGAATAAGCTTGAATATTATATGAAAATTAGGCATTGAAGTAAATATTCGTCAGATCTATTCCTCTGGGAAAAAAAAAGTATTAGCAAATTACAACTACACACACAGTTCTAGAGATCAAAGTGCAAGATCATTCAGCTTTATGTCACTTAAGTCTAGCTTCATAAGAAAGTTATTTTCAAAACATGCACAACACTGTCTTTGAAGAAAGCATTACATAAAGTAACTAACACAACTGGCTCTAAAACATTGAAGAGAAGACTTTATAGCAAGTTTATACTTGCTATCGCAAGTGTATGTGTATGGAAATTCAATATAGAAAATGAAAATATCCTCAGCTAAATAGGCCCTGATTCAGTCAAGCTTTAAACTTTGATCTAGGGTTGCAGGAAGTGGTCAAAGACAGTACTACCACATGACAACACAGCAAATTGGTACAAACTGAGAATTTCACGTCTGTTCAAAACATTTTGGAAATACAATCTTATCTTGGTAGGCTTTATGTCAAACCACACAGTGCTTGCCCTTGCACAGCTAACATAATATAAAGCTGGCATCTATATCACATGACTGGACAGCAATGTGATCACTGCCTTTCCAGTTTGCATTTGCTAATCTGGACAAGGCAGGAGACCAGAGGTGCAAGAGAAATTACTCAAGAATCATAACCTAAGACACTTATATGGGAAAAGTAGGAAAAAAAACATTAAACATTACCTGAAGATGAACCATCCTCTTTAGAAGCCAAAGATCTTCTTCCGGAAGTAGATTTAACATCATGTTCTAGTAAAGGCCCACTTCAAAGTAAAGGAAAATGGCTTGAAAATGTTACATATCAAAGAAATATTATAGCAAAATGAGAAGGGCAAGTTAACTTTTTCCACAACACATGGTTTTTCCTTTCAAATGGCTGTCTGTACTGACTAGGCATGGAAGGAAATGACTGCTACCTAGAAACCACAGGTATCGAATCCATCCTATAGAGCATCCCAGAAACTTCTGCTGAGCCAACACACAGCCAAATAGAGTATACATAACATCTCTAGCCAGTCTTAAAATCTCTTTCTTTTCTCTCTCCTTTTCTGGAAAAAAATACATCTTCTCCTTTTCTCTGCACCATGATTATAATAATCTTTAAAAAAAAGTTTTACATGCTGTAAAGGCAGAAAATTTGTTTATAGTTTAGCTGCACGTATCCCATCATAAAATCTCCAAAACTTGACAATAATTAATACATATGCACTTCTACCAGAGAAGAAATTCTTCAGAAATCAAGTTATTTATAACAGGACTTGAGTAAACAGACTTAGCATTAGTATCTGTAACCTCTTTCCCCTCATCCTTGGCTGCACTTCACTACAAAGTCAGAACACAGGCCCAGTTTGTCCAGTCCAAGTCTGCAGTAGGGTCACTTAAATTAAAATACCCAAGTTTTCAATAGAATTACAAGAAATCAGTAAATCTAGATGCAGACTGTCACTTCCATTTGCTTTCTTATTAAATTCCCTTCCCATGAAGGAGAAGCACATGCCTGTCTATCTGCGCAGAGCTTGCCTTCAAGATACTACTACATATCCTACTTAAGGGCAGCAAAGTTATTCATACAGTTGTTGCCAGATCCTGGAGTGCAATATTTCTGTTTAAAAGCTTGCTTCCACATCAAAAAAACCCCTAAAGGAAAAATCTTACTGTGACAGCTTATTCACCACAGAGAAAAAGGATTTTATTATTTCATTAGCTGTAAAAGAACAAATAGCTAGATGCCTCAAGCATGAATCATGATCCCTTTCTACTAAATTCTGTATTAATACAGAATAGAACATAGTAAGTGTAACAGGTGGATTAAATGCAAATTTTACAGACAATTGAGGAAATTACCTTCTATAACTCACTGAATCCTCAGCTGCAGAGAAACGCCTAGAAAAGAGAATTATTATTACTGCGGGTACTGGAAGTAAATAATTTTACTTAGTAAAGGGATTATATTAAAGATATTTTCAAAAAACAGCAATAGAAAGAACACTAAGTACTCAGCTATTCCAGCGGGCAGAGAGTTCCTATTTTGATCAAAGTCACTTCCATTAAAAAATAAATAAATATTGTACAGTCTGAATTTATAAACAAAGTAACACACAGGCAAAAAATATTATACTTTTCTACTACTATGAAAGCTAATCTCACATAGCCATTTTGATTAGTTTTATCAATATTTACATTTATACTGAAGGAGTAGTTTCTAAACACATCCACATATCCAGAGCTTACTGGAAGGTGCACCTACTTGTCCCATTGCACTCCATTTCTCTAGCACCATTATTTCAGATTCTAGACATCTCTGCTAACATCCAAAGGCTCTGATTTTCTCCCAATTCTGCCTATTCTGCTAGAGGGACTGCCAGAAAAAAAAATAGATATGACAGCTGCCCACAAAGCAACAGAGCTCCAAGAATGTACCTCCTAATGACAGGTTATTCCTCAACAGTGCTTTTTAACTTCTTCTGAAACCTTGGGCACTGGGAGGTTACTAAACTTGATGGATGACTCATGTCAGTTACCTGGCATACATTCACTGTTCTGAAAAAGGACTTCCCATGACCTGTATGAAAAAAAGAGCTCAAAATTCAACTGAATGGTACCACTCAATATGTTTGTGGTTGACTGAAATACAGCCAATAACATGGTTGTAATATTTTCTCTTGAGAAGTCTCCTCTGTGAATTTCCATACAAGCTTGTTTATGCAAGAGTGGTTACTAGATTCGGCAAACTACCTGCAGTAACAGGATGTTAATTACACCATTAAGTTTTCCTATTAGCTACTTTCTATTTAATCAGCTTGAAGCTGTCCTATATTTCAACTATGCAATTACTGTTTAAAAGTTGAGAAAGCAGGTTCCCTTAACTTTCAAGGTACACCACATTTTTTAAAGGAATTAAATACAGCACTTACTGTGAGCCACGTTGCATGTTACGTTTTCTTTTGTTGCTTTTTTTATTTGATGACACGGGGTTTTTTTCTACCTCGTCCTGCACAGGAGAACTCTCAGATTCCATTGTATTTTGAGGTTCGATGTCATCAGAGTTTGAACGCACATTTTTACGGGCTTTGTGATGAATCTTTTCAGGCTTCTTCCTTATAATCTTAGCTGATGATCTCTTCTCAGAATTCTGCACAGTGGATGTCAGATTCCGCGGTAGCTCTTTGGCTTTTACAGGAGTTTTGTTACTTGCACCACCAAGTGATTTCAACGAATGCAAAACATTTCTTCGTTTTTCAGAGTTAGCCAAATTCTGAATTTTAGAGGTCTTTAATTTTGAAGGCAACGGTGTTGAAAACACTTTATTTAAATCCACAGATTCTCTTTCAAGTCCTTCTTCACCAAGTTTACTTTCAGAACTCTCTACTGTTGGTAATAGTAGCCCTCTGTTGCTACTTTTCTTGCTAGAGGCTTTCGTTTTTTTCCTGGAGCTTTCTGCCAGTTTCTTAGATACCGTATCTTTTGAAAGTTTCTGCTTAACATTTTGTTTTTTGTGAACTAAATGTCGAGTTCTTAAGTTGGACTGCTTGTAGTTTGAAGACTTAAAACTCTTTTTTGACTGAAGCTCCTGTTGACCTCCAGCTGAAAGTATAGACAAATCCTCACTTGGCCTCACCCTTTTTTTACATTGTTCTGCATCAGAAGCTTTTTTGTCTAATTCGAACAATTCTTTGTCTTCTGGTTTCCAGGATGTGCCTCTTCTCTGTTTTGGAGAGTCTTGCCTAAGTGCTTCCTTTTTAGTCTTTTCTATCAATACACAAAACGCATAGATATTAATATTTTTTCCACATAATACTTTTGGAAGTAATACGTCTACATGTGAACACACAAAATTTAGTCAAAGATCATACAAAAATAAAGCATCACAAAAATAGGCTTTTCCCTAATGAATAATAAGGCTTTTTCAGCACTACGGTTCATGGAGAATTCAAAATAGATTTTTTTGGTGAACTTTCATATTTTGGGGTATTTCATGGCAGAAAAAAAATGGCAAGAAATGCTCACTTTCAATCTGCAATGAGCTTTTCTTGCTAAGAAACCCTTCCCAACTAATACTCACAACCTGAATCCCAATTCACAACACTCATCTTAATCTTTTTCCTAAAGTGACGGGGTAAAGGCTTGAAGGTACCATCCTTCCTCATTCCATTTGTAAGAAAATGAGGAAGTCACAGCTAACAATTTTTAACCTCTTAAAAAGGAGGAGTGCAAAAAGAAACGCGCAAAGATATTCTCTCTCACTGCCTTACATAAATCCAGAACTTCTAACTGTGCACCTGCAACAGCAATTAAGAAGCTGTTAACCTGTCTCATCTCCTTTATTCCCCATTTCTCATATAAAACCACAAAGTCCAGCAACACGATGACCTTAACATGTCTTTGGGCTTTTCCTTTAAGTAACTCACCCCTGGGAGTGCTGCTTTGCCTTTGAGATTTAAGAACTTTCCCCTTCTTGTCAGAAGAAGCTGTCTCTGATTCTGATGTAATTCTGAAGTCAGGTTGCACTCTGACATCAAAATCAGGCATTTTCTGCTTATGAGGTGCTTCAGACTGCACCTTTCTGTTCTTTTCTTTCCTACTTTCTGTCTTCTGCCTTTCCAAGAACTGGGATTTCAAAGCAGGAGTTGCAGAGCCATTTGTTTTTGATGTTTTGTTCTTCTTTGGTATTGAAAACCAAGAATTAAAAGACACATCATTTGATTCATCAATTAAAAATTCACATTCATTTTCTATTTCTAAATCTTGATCTTTCACAAGAGGAGGAGATGGTGGCGATATCGAGGCCGAACACCTACAGGCAGGAGGGACAAATGATATATGATATATGAATTGGAAAAAAAAAATAATGAAGACTTTCAGTCTCGTAAATCCTGGTAAAGACTGCAGAACACAAAAGTCTACTAAAAATACTCTGCTCAGATCCATACTGCTCTAAAAAAGAGACTGCTTGATCACCACTAAGTTAAGAATCACATGCACTTTGTCTGCATTCTACATATAAAAACCTCTTAGGCTCACTCTTAAAAGCTTTTTAAAAGCTGTACACTATTTCACTGGCAAACAACAAAAATAAACCATTAACAAACCATAACTGCACAAAAGTCTCATAAAACAATTTATAACTTTCCTGAAGAGGAGCTTTTCAGTAACGAGGGACTATTCCATCACATCATCCCACATCATACTTATTAGTGATATTACGTTATTCCAATACCTAGGACTGTATTACTTTACCAACAAATTATGTTCCATGCTAAGCCTCACCTTTTTCCAGCAGTTGTTACAGCTGCCAAGAATGCTGAAGAGAAAGACTTATTTTTCTGTAGAGAGGATATAGCAATATGGCCTGTTCCTTGCACCAGAGCAATCTGCTTTTTCCCACTTTGAGGCCCTCGCAAATTTTCAACTTCCACATGGCTCTTAACCACAGCTGGAGTATTTGGCTCATCAGACTGTAATCTAGATATGAGAAACAGTATTTAAATGCAAAGCTATACAATACAGAGTGCATACTGAAGCATCCTGATGGCTCTCATTTTCTCCTAATGGCACTGTCTCACTTTTTATGAACAAACTTTCATTTGGCAATCTGCTGAAATGCAGGTTAGCATTGTGATTTCTAAAGGTAGCGGCTAGCGTCCTGATCACTACAGCATCAAGGGTAAACCTGAGACCTTGAGCAAAGTAAGGGCTGCTCAAGAATTCAAATACCCAAATTTAAGACAAAGTGCTTCAAAAACTGTCAGGTCTCCTAGATCCTGGGTACATTCTTGGATAAGACTCTTCCCAGTCTCATCACACCATGGGTAATTTGGACCACTGCCTCTCCCTCTCTATGAGCATCCCAGAGATTCAGTCCTCCAAGAAAGCAAAACCATGGCCACAGCAGCTGGGCTGCCAACTTCCTAAGGAGGAAATCCCTCAGCTGACGATATTCTCCTTTTTTTTCTTTTTAAATTCACAAGCCAAACTAATAAATGAGTAAAAACACTGTGTTAATTTACCCTAAAATGGATGGGGGGAGGGAAGGGAAAAAAAAAAAAGTTCAACTCTACTTACATATGGACAGGAGAAGTTACAGCTTCCTTCACAAGGAGAGGCAATTCCCCAGACTCATGATCATCCCTAAAGGCCGAGAGGTTGGCAGGGCTTCTGCATTGTGCTTCAACATCTTTTAAAATGCTTCTTGTTTCACCAGGAGATCTAGCAAGTTCACTGATGTCTGCAGTGCCATTTTCACTTGGACTTTCTCCTTTGGACAGAGGACTCTCTATTTTGTTAGCATCATGTATTGCAGTCTTCGAGTGTGATTTAAGTGACCATCCTGCCATATATTTTAAATAGATTTACTCAAAACTCTGTAAAATTCCCAAGAAACAGCTAGCCCAAAACCTGAATTGAGTAATAACACTACTAACCTTTGCTGTTGACTGCTTTTAGTGGTGATGCAGATAGAGAGTCTGAAGAATTAGAGGTGTTTTTCAGAGAGTTAGTTAAACCAGCATTTGGCTGCCATATTTGAAAGAAAATAATGAGAAAAATATTTAATGCAGCAATAGAAATATTTTGACAAGAATATAAACTTTTAAGGACACAATTATCTTGCTCAATCCCTACTCAACGCCTTTAAAGCACAATTCTAATTCAATTAGATGCTTCACTTCTCTATCATTTGAGACTTTCAAGAAAGTAACTGTGAATTTCAGACAACAGGTGTATATTCTAATAATAAATTTGCATCCTTCTAGCCCAGAGGCAAGCTATTTATTCTCTTCATTACAGTGAATTCATTTTAACAACCTGATTTGCCTTTATTAAACATCATGCTGTGGTTTTGCAAGATTTACTTGAGAAAAATATAGTACTGTATCACTAGACTAACACACACAAATTCCATTACAAAAGCTGTTTTAAACACTCATATTAAAAGAATATCTCACTTAGAAAAACACTATATAATCAAAATATTAAAACCAGGTAGACCAGGCTGCAGACACAAACAATGATATTTACAATATTTGCTCAGGTAAGATTCTAACAAGTCCTTTGAATAATTTCTTCAGCTCTCAACAAGTTTACAGACATACAAGTTATTTTACAGATGGGCACCATTATCAGGAATTGACAGGCGCCTTTTAAAGAAGGATGATCTTTCAATTTTACTCTCTGCTTGCTAAAAAGAGAGACTTCTATTCATCTGGTTAAAAAATGGCTGGGGCCAAGTTCAGTGGATTTCAAAACAGCCATACTCAACACCTGCTATAAAGCAGTATGCTTGAATCTGAGGAAGTTACTCCTCCCAATGAAACACAGAGAAAGATTCTCTTGGCAAAAGTCCATAAAAAGAGCCGCCCCTCACCCCCAAATGGCTTTGTTAAGTAAAATTTTCCTTTTATAATAGCGAAACATACTAAAAAAAAAAAACAACATTACCAAGAAGGACTAGTCCAGCCAATGGACTAGTACTTATGACATACGGAGCTGATTCGCTCAACGCTCACAGGTTTCATCTCAATCTTCTTGAGCTATATACACACCACAGTAAAACTATGCACAGTAGGCTATGACACCAACATAACAAACTTACCTTTTTGCTTTGTCCTGAAGCGCCCTTTTTGTTTCTAACAACAGGAGTTGAGCAACATGTTGTAACATCATTATTTTCAGAGTTTATTGTAACGTCATTACCACAACCTATAAAGAAAAATCTGTAAGTACAGGATACTTGGAATTGTACACAATGTGAGTTTGCTTCAACAAGCCACCAAGACTTGTTAAGTTCAAATAAATCCAAACAAGAAAGAAACCAGACATTTAAGAAAAATTACCTTCCAAGATGGCTAAACCCCTTTACCTTTTCTATTGATTTACCACTTCATTCGATACAGGAAGGATTTTTTTTTTTTTTTTTTAAAGCTTGAAATTTACCTGGCAAGTTAAGCACAAACACAGATAAATACTTACTTTCAAAGCAATCCTGTATGATTTTCAGTATATTCTGACCTGGTTGAACATCAATCTCTTTCCTAGAAAGAAAAGTTAAAACTTACTTAAAAAAAAAAAAAAAAAAAAAAGGCAATACTAAGTAGTCCTATCTAACCTGGCAATACAAGAGTATCTGCACCAAAACTAAAGTTGTTATAACTTAAAATTTTACACTATCATTTCTTTCCCCAGTCCAAAAATCCAAGAGCTTTCACATACCATTTTCACAGATAGACGCACACACAGAAATTTGTCTAAATAAGCACTGCAGGAGAAAAATGGATTCCAGTAACACAGAGCTTCCTCACTTCAGACATACCTTTTGAAAAGATTACACCAAAACAAAAACTCAAAATATTCTTCAACATTTATCAGGAATGGCCAAACAACAAAAGTAGGAACTCTGCACGCACTTCATCATCTACCTCCTGAAAGGAAAACTGTTTGCACGGACTACTGTTTCTGTACTCCACTAGCCTAGCTAGGGCTAGCTTCGGTACCTCCAAACCAGAGTCTAGCCCTTAACACAGTCAGGCAAAGAAAAAGCAATATAATGAAATGAAGGGTCTAGGAAGAATAAGTAAATAAATACAATTTTCCTGAATAGCACTCTCTAAAATGAGAATTTTAAATATAAGCGTAATTACCCTCCTCCATGGCAGAATCTTGCTCTGTAGTCTTTTTTTAAAAGATTCTGTTAAGAAAGAAAAATCATTTTTTTTACCAACCATGCTGCTACTTGATGAAAAAGCAAACCAAAAACAACTTTCCTTTTCTCATATAAGCAAATCTTGGGGGTTCTCAATTCATCATAAACTAGCAGGAGTTACTGCAGCTCCGTGATTCCAATAACCCCGCAGTTCTGAGAGATGTGCCTACCATCTCTCTAATAGCTGCCAGGAATTTATCTTTCCTTAAGAATCATCAATGATATGTTGTATTTAAATTAACTGTGAGATTTAATGAGAAAAATGTTACATAGCCTGAGGGTTTAGTTAACTTTTAAAACTATTACCAGTGTAGAAATACTCACCTTAATAAAGAAAAAGAATCAACAACCACAAAGTAACCTAGGAAATAACCTTACAACCCAACTACTGCTCTTTGGAAACTGCTCACAGGGAGATTCTTTATTCTTTTATATTCTTCTGTATTTATCGTCAACAAGAGCATGCTGACAGGCATTTATGGCTTAACCTATGTCTTCCAATAGTTGGTCAACTACTCAAAGACTAAATATAACTAAAGTCACTTGATTACCATGAGTTCATTCATCAGCTATCACAATCTGAGCATTAGCAATCCAAATATCAATTTATTAGAAGCATAACTCTCTACATCAACAAATGAAATAAAGCCTACTGAATTAGAAGCAGGGAAATGCTGTATAGAGAAAAACAGGAAGATAAACAAGTAAGATAAAATCACCAGGCTAAACAGAGTGTACTTTTTCACCAATGCGACTACGTGTATATATTTTTTTAATCTATATGTTTAACTGCAAGTTATGACCTCTTCCAATCTGCTGCTGCTGAAGCAAGTGTACATGCAGTATGAAGATGCAGTTTTAATGCCACAGAATTCAGCATGTTCTCCCTAATGGGCTCCACAGTACAAGAGGGATGTGGAGCTGCTGGAGAGAGTCCAGTGCAGGGCCACAAGGATGATCAGGGGCCTGGAACATCTGCCCTATGAGGAGAGGCTGAGGGAGCTGGGCCTGTTCAGCCTGGAGAAGAGAAGGCTGAGAGGGGACCTGAGCAGTGTCTAGAAGTACCTCAAGGGAGGCAGTGAGGAGGATGGGGCTGGTCTCTTTTCAGTGGTGGCCACTGACAGAACCAGAGATAATGGCCACAACACCAAAAGTTCCACAAGAACTTAAGGAAAAATTTCTTGACAGTGAGGGTGACAGAGCACTGGAACAGGCTGCCCAGAGAGGTTGTGGAGTCTCCTTCTCTGGAAGTCTTCAAAACCCGCTTGGATGCAGTCCTGTGCCACAAGCTCTAGGCGACCCTGCGTGTGCAGGGGGGTTGGACTAGATGATCTCTAGAGGTCCCTTCCAACCTTAAGGATTCTATGACTCTAATAATTTTGCCATACTGAAAACACTTCGTATCTTTCCTGACAGAAAAAAATGGTTTCTGAGAGGATTTATTTCAGATACTTCTGCAGATTTGCTTATGGCAACAAAAAGAAGACTGAAAAAGTAATTTTATTCCAACAACAACAACTGGGGATTGCATCAATGCACATAAGCAGCGTTTAGAACCCCACCCGCCCCTTTCTGACTGCGGTCCGCAGAAGTCAGGTACCTCTCTAGCGCGTTTAGACGAGAACCACCGACCCCTCACAGCGCCGCCCGCCTCGGCGCGCTCAGGGAGCTGGGGGAGG